CTTTTACACTGATACCAGAGAGAGGCACATTCCCAATACCTTATGGAGATGTGTATAAGAGACAGGATTTATAAAGCGTACATCTCCACCAATGGTGCTCAAGGCGCATGGTGGACACTGGCGCTATAGAAGTCTCTAGAATTATTACCGTATCTATTATCAGCGGCGTGCCTAGTTAGGTGGCTGTCTCTTATACACATCTAGATGTGTATAAGAGACAGATATATATATATATATATATATATACCGTATATAGTAATAGTGTAGATTGGTATAGTGCCGGTATCCATCAAACAAGATGCTAATGGCGATTGATATGTGGACTAAGAACTCAATCAATTACTTTCTTTGCCCCTAATGGTCCCTTTGTGTCTGTGCTACCCCTGTTACCTGGTACCGGCAACTCTTGTCGTCCACCACAGGGGCTGAATCTGTACCAGTACACTGGGGTACCCCCCCAACTTGTCTCGAATGATGTACTGGGTTCTTTATAGTGATTATTATATAGTAGTTATTGTGTACACTGGGTCTACAGCAGTGGCGTATCCAGAACTCTTGAAGTTGGGGTCCTGATGGTAGGGGCAAAGGTGAAGTGGGGCGCTTATAGTCCTTATCAGAGAAGACTTGTTCTACCATCAGAAGCATAGGCGATAATGGTGGTAATAATAATGTTGATATAGTTGGGAGTGGTGGTGATCACGAAAGTAAGTCTGGAGTGCCTCATTTTGATTCAATATCACCAAGACAAGTCAACTGTTCCACTATCTATGGTTTTTGTTTACAGGCCTACATAATGTTTTGTACCTATTTTGTATACAAATAATGAATGTTTATGAGTGCAATGGTTTAATTATAGTTGAACCAACTGTAAAACATCAAACAAAAACCTGCTTGCAAATATTTAAACTGTTGTAGAAAGAAAAATATGCTTTCAAAAATTATTTTAGAAGCATACGTACGTAAATACTTGAATTAAATAAAATAGACTCGAATGTACAGTATTCAACAGATACGAAGCTGTTAATGTTAAATTTTCTTTGAGCCATGGTGTGATGCGTAAAACTTGCTTTTAAATTACCTGAAACACCCACGTTCGATATTTCAAGGTTTAACTACTATAGTTCTGACTTGCCTATTATCGTCGTGGATCAGTGAAGCTTGTTTTTTGTTTACATCATGTATGTACGGAAGCACCTAAGTGCCATTCGACTTGACGACTTGTCAAGATAATTTATGTTGTCAAGTCGACATAATATACATATCATGTCGACATGGCGAGATAGATTATCTTGACAAGTCTTCATAGTAAAAATTGTATGTTGTCATTTTTACTATGTTGACTTGTCAAGATAATTGTCAAGATAATTTACTTGTCAAGATAATTTACCTCACCATGACAACATACAACTTTTATTATGTCGACTTGTCAAGATAACCTATCTCGTCATGACAACAAAACATTTTTAGTATGTCGACTTGTCAAGATAATCTATCTCGCCATGTCGACATGACAACATAATTATCTTGTCAAGTCGAATGGCACTTAGGTGCTTCCGTATCTTCCTCTATGACAAAAATATTTAGTTTTCTTAGTAAAAATAAAATACCCAAGGATTTGAACGGAATACCCAAGAACCCAAGACCAAGTCAAAATACCCAAGATCTTGGGTAAATACCCAAGCAGTGGTCACGCTGCTGTACTGTACCGTTTTCTGTTACTCTTTTATCCATTCATTTTTAAGCGGGTGGCAATTCCAAAATCGCCATGAGCATAATGATAATAATACAGATTTATAAAGCGTACATCTCCACCAATGGTGCTCAAGGCGCATGGTGGACACTGGCGCTATAGAAGTCTCTAGAATTATTACCGTATCTATTATCAGCGGCGTGCCTAGTTAGGTGGTGACGGGCCCCAATTCAAGATAATTGCCGATCCTTTAATGTAAAGACTGGAGGGACAGATTCAAAGTTTATGACCGTCTCGCAAATTCAAGTCTGGAGCACATCTCATGTTGAATGAGGATAAATAATGTAGTACTACAGTATTATTATTAATACGCAAAGAGTTGATGGGCTGAATCACATTGAATTCAGTATGAACAAACGCATAACACCGATCAGTGACAGCTGTATCTACACTATCAAATTTTAGTTAACTTCCTCGTACAGTTTCAAAGAGAACTAGGCCAAATGCACAAAATATATATATTTTCATTTGTGTCGATAGTACAAAATAAACCACCGAGTCAAAGTACAATAGAATAAACCAGACTTACCATTTCTGTTTGTAAAACAAAACATAGGGCTCAGTCTTTATTAACATATAGTAGAGGCTAAATATGTTTTAACCTTAAACAAACTCTAATAAAAGCACTTTTTGTATATTCTTGTACGTCTATACGTAAATAATTATGGAAAAATTTTTGCCGCTTTTTTATGCACAAAAATAGTGGCTACACCTAGGTTTTTGGGATCAACATTTATTGAAACATTTTTGCCACCTTCTAGTAGCTCCGTTGACCAAATATTCAGGGTCAGAGGTCAATGACCTTTATACAACATATGATGATCATAACTCCTCAACCACTTGGTCTAAAAGCACAAAAAATAGTGTATGAATTACTAGGTCTATGTTAAATTAATATTATCTATTAAAATTGTATATTTAAATAATATAGTAATAGGCATAGCCTAGGCCTAAACCTAGTGATTAGCCTATGTGTGTAGTGTATAAAATTATGAATAAAAAGTATGAATAAATGCAAATTCTGAAAGAATAAAGGAAGAAGGAAGAATAGGATAGAGATTTGGAACGGCTGAAATATTTTCCAAAAATATACAATATTAGTCAATATTCGACATCGAATAGGTCCGATTGATGTCGAATTTTTTTACACTACACACATACTTTAAAGACAGTTTGAAGTCTGGTAAGCGTTCGAACCGCGGCTCTGGTGTGAGGAGGGTCATCAAAGCCAGCGGGAGTATGCCCAACAATTGGTCTACATTCCTGAGAGATGTGATGACAACAAATCAGAGTGTTTCCATTAATTGTAAACGAAGTAGTTGAGAACATTGACACAAACCACGGATTGTTTGTAGAGTCTCTGGGAGACGGAGCTGTAGCAAACCAGTATGTAGATCCTGTCTCTTATACACATCTAGATGTGTATAAGAGACAGTGTGCGGACAGGAGAGATGTGTATACGCATTCTTGTCAAGACTGTAGACAGTGATGTTGCTGCTATTGAGTTGTCAGCTTTCCACAGAATACCTGCATGGCATCCAGGAGCTTTGGCTCGAGGGGAAGCACTTAAAGTACATTCCAATACACGCGATTGCTACTTCTCTGGGACCACAGATATTAACCGCTCACAATTGTCCTTTCACTACTTTAGCGGTTGTGATACAACTTCATCTGTTCAAGGTAAGGTAAACCGGCATTTAACGAAACTTGGAAAAAGATGCCATGTATGATTCCAGTATTCTAGAGAATCTGTAGGAGATGTTAGTGAAACAGACACTAGAACAGGAGACAACAACCTAGTTCTAGACACTAGAGCTAGGTTGTTGCTATGTACTGCGGCACATTAATTTGATGGTAAGAAGGTAAATGATGCAAGGTGATACCTATTTACAACTGGGGAAAGGCAATACCCCCCAACATCAGCTGCATTAAAGAAACATGTCAAACGATCTGTACTACAATCCAGGAAGTGGTAAAACTGTCTAGATGCCCTCAGAGTTGAACAGGATCCAGTTAATTGGGGATGGATGAAGGACGACAACAAATTTACTCCAGTTTGGAGCTCTCTGCCGAACTTTTAAATGTCACCAAGGTGTTAATTCGTTGTGGACACACAAACCAGTGGCGGATCCAAAGGGGTTTAGGTGGTTCGGACGAATCCCCCTCTGTGAAGAAACGTAACAAAATACTACTGGGTCCTGGCTTACAGAATTCATGCTAACTAGATGTGGATCCAAACCTTCGCCCACTTCGCCCAGGCGAAGGTCAGGGTGAGAAATCAAAATAAAATGTTGACCATTTTTTCCAACAATCATACTTACTTTCCTTGACACTTATTTTGAACATTATCATTAGGAAAATGTTTAAATCAACGCTATCCTATACCTTACACTTTTACACTGATACCAGAGAGAGGCACATTCCCAATACCTTATGGTCTTCCGCTTCTAGCGCATGATATATGCATAGCAAACGTTATGTAACCACTAATAATACTCAGGTCCAGTCTTGGCGTAGGTATGGGCAGTGCAGTATTGGGGGCTCGTTTAATAGGTCTAATCTGGTCTAATGA